ACTCACCCACAAAGGCACAAACTCTTTTTTGTGCAGCCACTGTGGCAGCATCTTTGACTCAATGGATAAACTGTCTGCTCACATCACAGACAAGCATGACAGCATGCATCCTTTTCTTTGTAGTGTTTGCCCATTCTCTTGCAATCATCTTAAAGAGCTCAAGCAGCACATTAAGACACATGAAGTCCAGGAAACATTGGTTTGTGAAGTTTGCAATATGACTTTAACCAATGCTAAGGAATATAAAAGCCACATGAACAGCCATGAAATGAAAAGGCCGTTCAAGTGTAGCTTGTGTGATAAAACATTTAAAGTGATGTCTTGTCTCAAGTTGCATGAAAAGAAAAGACATACAGGTGAGTATTTCTTCAAGTGTGGCATCTGTAATAAAGCCTTCATCGCAGCTTCCAAACTGGAGAGGCACATGCGAGTCCACAGTGGCATATTGCCTTATGCCTGTGAAATTTGTGGGAAGATGTTTATCGATTCACGATTATTAAAAACTCACATTGTCACTCATAAAGATGAGCGTCCTTATTCCTGCAATGTTTGCAGTTTGAGCTTCAAGCATAAGAGCACACTCAACGCTCACAGTCGAAGACACACAGGTACTAAACCTTACTCGTGCCCTATATGTAAAGTGTCATTTGCACAGCTTTCCAGCGTGGCCTATCATCAGAGGATACATGACGGTGTCAAGCCTTATATTTGTCACATTTGTGGCAACTCTTACACGAGGAACACAACCCTCAACATGCACATGTCAGTCCACACTGGCATAAAGCGCCTGTCTTGCCCTTACTGTCCTTTCAAGGTTAACAGGCAAAAAGGCCTTAGGAATCACATTGAGAAAGAACACAAGGCCAAATCAGAAACTTTCACCATTGAAATTCCTAATCCCCAAGATCAGTTTGTCTCTACTATCTTAGATTACAAGCAGGAAATAGTAGGGGATGAACTAAAAAGTTTCAATAATTACATTGCAAAGGAGGACAAGTCTGTTTCCACAGATCTTTTTACCATAGTCTCTTACCAGCCACAGGACCACCTTGATGTTTCAAGGATTTTGGACTACAAAGAAGAGATTGTTGATGAGAACAATGTGCTGCCATTGGTTGAATCAAATATAGAACTGCTGCCAGCTGAACCAATTGATGAACAGCAAATCATCATCATGCCTTGTGGCCAGCAGCAGACATCCAGTTTGAGTGTGGCAGAATCACTTTTGCAACTACAGCAGCAGACACCAAAGCAGGAGTTTCTACTTTAAGTACCGGTAGACTTATAAGGGTTTTAATTAATGTTATTTATTACTGTTGCTGTTTATTACATCCTAAGCTAAAGAAATAGCTTATGATGTCTGAGTTAAAAGTGCTGGTAGGAGTTTTATATCTAGCTTAATTCAGGATATAAACTATCCCAGAAGAGCTCATCCAGCTGGATTAGGTGCTCATATAATAGAGGTGAGGGGGATGAGGACTCAGTGTAGCTGGTCATTGTGCATATATTTAAAAAAAAAAGAACCTTGTTAATCACTATTCAGTGATACTTTTGATTGTACTAGTCCAAGGGCTTGAATAAAAAACTCCTGAAACACAAAAGTACTTTTACTTCTATGAATATAAAAAAAAACATAAATAAATATCAGTAACTCAGTCCATGTGTCTATGAAAGTCACTGGGAAATGTTGGTTTATCCTGTTGAATTTTGGCACCAAATATGGATCAGAAAGAAAAAAACAACAACTTCAGTGTAAACTGGTGATATGCATCTTTAGTATAATAGGCTTTCTTATTTCTAGCATTTTATTACTTAGTCAAAGTCTCAGACTCAAGTTATTTTGGAATAAAAAAGGATTTTTTTACTCAAATTTGATACTATTATGTACATGAGAGAGAAAAACTAGTTAAATTTTGTGTTGGCCACATTAAATCCTCTTTTTTGGCAGGTATGGTGTACTTTTTAATAGCCCTATAGGAATAAAAACTGCAGAAAAGGTGACAAATTGAAATGAAAGGCTCATTATGTGAACTAAAAATTTCTTGTCCAGACATTTTTCTTTGCCAATCAAAGAAACTTTTGCTTTATTGTATGTATTGTTTGATATTTTCAGTGTCAGTTAGAAATATCTATTGCACACCTTCTGGTGTTCTGCACAATGTAAAAACCTGATATGAATTTTTTAAAAATTGTGTGTCCTAGAAACATAACAAATAAAACGCTTGTCCCAAGATATTAGATATGTTGTTGATCTTTCTGTTGTTTCTCAAAACTGTAGACTTTATTAACATTGCCTGGTTATATGGTCTGCGCTATGGACTGTCATTTGGATTATCCTGTTATTTTTTCTTTTAACTTGCCTGCTGCCACACCCCTTCGTCCTGCGGGAGGTTTGGGCTAGGATGTAATAATCCTCAATTCTAAAGGAACCTCTGAAACATGTCAAATGAACAAAGCATTAAAAGCTAATTAAAATTCTTCATGATTATGTAATGTTCAGTCAATTTTTTTAAAAAATAAAGATCACTTCAATAAATGCAATGTTTGAAATTATGTAAGGGGCTTAGAATTGAATATAGCCATTCTATTATTTACATTGTCATACTTATTGCTGAATTACTTTTCAGCATGCAAACACTATTGGAATTTTCTTTAAACGCAAGCAAAAAAATAAAATAAATTATTACCAATAATCAAAGATTAGTTCAAATAAAATAAATCCCCAGTTGGTAATCAGTTGTAGTACACTAATTGTAAGTAAGAAATGTTAGTACTGGTATCTCTAATTTAGTATCTATAATAAACAGAGCACAATTAAAGTTGTATGATTTCTTTTAGAAATCAACACCCTTTGACCAATCTTGATTTTGAACATTCCTTAGACTGTTGGGGAGTCTGTTGGCATTATTAAATACCTTACTGTCTGATTTGTTTTAACTTCTAGAATAAACACGGGCAACACTGTGTATTTCTGCTTGTTTGTAAATGAATTGTGTGTTATGATTTTCTAAATATTTTAAACTTGCTTTAATAGGAATAATGAATTGTGGGTCAAGATGATGTCACCAAATGTAAAAATGCTTATGTGTGCTTACCTTTGTGTTTATTAATTGTCAGTATTTTATCTTAAGGCTTTTTTTTTTTAATGTCTTTAAATCATGGACTTGCAAAATTTTAACCCTAAATAATCCCAATGCCAATCCAAAATGTGAACTACACAATCAACCAGTCATTCAAAGCTTCTCCATTAGAACATGGACTCTCAAGATCTTAAGATGGCAAGTAAGCTTATTGTTAACTGTCCCATGTTGTTGCTTAAGGAAGCAACAAAGAAATGACCATATGCCAGTGGAAAAGATCAGGAATTGGGAAGATGAGGCTAGACATATGTTGGGGGTGTATGGTTGTAACATTAGTTGTTTTTTTTTTTTTATTAATTAATTAATTTAAAAAATGCATGTACCTGGTAGTTGAAATCAATATTTTTACTGGGATATGTGTGAAGTTTAAACTGTTTCAGTAGTGAGTGTGTGAAGTAGCAATGTTTCAGTATTTGAAGTTAAAACTGTCAGTTCTTTGTTCATAGAATTATGAAACATATATATCAGTGCATTCAAGGTGATGCTGATGACTTATTTCTGTGGCCAATTAGGTGTTAAAGTCTTGTGTATAACAAAATAACAAATGATCAGCTACACTGTACCCTGAAAAGAGAACACGTGGGAATGATTACTTTTTGGGCTTAGAACATCCCCCAAATCCCTGAATGTCCACTTTCATCCAGTCAGACTAAAAGCTTTTCAGTCCCATCAGATGTTTCTATAATAAGACTAAACAACTCACTTCTATTAGCTAGTTTTCCTAATAGGCTTAAGTAAAGAATGTATTATTATTTTGATTTACTCTTTAAAAATTAAACATCTTATAATAGCTTGCATTAATATGATTTTTTTTTAGATTTTTAAAAAATTAGTCTTCCATTGTTAGTGTAAATTATACAATAATGTACTCACTTAGTATTAAATTCTGTAAAAGGCTAAAAACATTCCAATTTATTTTTTTCACACATACTGTATTAGCTTATTAACTATGGGTTAATATCAAATAATATAATAAGAAATCATTTCAGTCTTAGGTATGATTTAGTTTTACTAGTAGTTGTAAGCATCTAAATAGAATATTATTGTTTTTTTTATTTTAGTATTTTACATGAAAATGTCTTTCTGGAATATGTCAAAATAAAACTAGCTTGATTCTAGGACATTTAATAGCCCACTATTAACATTGGTATAGAATTGCTTATTGAAATGCTAACCTAAACCATTTAGCCATGATCCATTTTTTGTTTCAACTTGCATAGAGAAGAAAAAAAATGGAATAACTTGTCCAAGTGTAAAGTTTGTATTTTCTATGATAAAATTCTATTAATAATATTTATGCATACAAGCACATATATTTATAAGTAAAGCTAACCAAAAAATGTTCTGCCTCACTTGTCTGGGCCAGGCTTGCACCTTATTTTGTTTTAGCATTTTTTTTTGGTACTGTTAGTTAATTATTACTTATGTTATGTAAGTTGGTATAATCATTGTAAATTATGAACATTGAACTACATGCCTATTATACTGCAGTGTACATATACTTTGTAATTTTCTCTGCTCCATACATGTAGATACAATTATTTTCATATTTTTCTTTGTAAAAATATATATATAATATATACTATATTGCTCCACCACCCCCACTAGTTATAAATTTATTTGTTTTGTTTGTTGAATATTCAGAATTTGAAATGTTTTAAAATGAAAGCTCGTATTGACTGATGACATGTGTTTGGGAACTAGTGTTGAATAAACTGAAGTATACCCTACAAGTTTGGTATTTGAAATGGCTTGAAAGATAGAATTTTTTGAAAAAAAAAAAGCCTCTCTTTCTTATTCAGTTACAAAAAAAAATATAGAAAGATTTCTTTTAAGATAAAAAAAAACAAACTAAGACATTTTATATTTTAAGAATGTGCTAGTCTGAACTCTGCTGTATTGTATAACACTAAACATTGTTAAGTTTTTATTTGCAGCAAATATGGTTTCAATAACAAATAATTTCAACAAACATATTTTAAACAAGAATGAACATATGTGATCTCTCTCTAATACATTGTTACCACTCATTTCTAATGCTAAACAAACAAAAAAATGTTTACAAATTTAAGACACTACAATGTCATGTAGTGGTAAGGTGAACCTGTTATTTATGCAAATGGCACCATTTTTTTAAAGTAATCTCTGATGACCCTGCTTTAATTACAATATATTTAGAGGTCAGACTTGTCTATAAAACATCTAATTCATTGAATTACAAAACATTAACTGTGTGAAAAGATCAACATCTTGTAGTCATGTGATAGGAATGACATGCAACATTAAAGTGATGGTAAAAATGGTCGAACTCGTGGTCATTGCCTATCTTGTATTTTATAAGTACAATTAATGTTTAACATTTAGCTAATGTACTTAATGATTTCTTGAACACTGACCAAAACAAAATTATTTCCATTAACATAAAGTATTCTATTTGGCCGCTGCACATACATTTTTCAGTTATTTTCTGGAGCTCAATATCTTCACATCCAATAAGGACCTTACTAAAACAGCTTCTTTTTATGATGGCATTAAAAGGTTTTTTTCCTTCATCATTTAAGTCCTTGAAGCAGTGTTACTTATAGATTAAAAATAAATAAATTTTGTAATGAAAAATGTTGTGGCATATCTCTTCTGCTCCTATGGTTATCTAAATTATATCCTTGTTAGTTCTTAAGTTCTAAAAATTTATTCACAAATTCATAAAATGAACCAAAAGTTACACAGCTCTTAACAACCCCCCCCCCCCCCCCCCCCCACACACACACAAAGTTGAGTCATAAAACTATTGTAACTGATTGCTGAAAATGACATCACATAAACAAAAATTATACTAAAGAAATATCAATAGAATATTTGAGAAAGACAATTTCTTTGCAATAAGAACAAAAGTGAAAGTAGACAAACTTAAGATGCAATCAAATCAGACTACCAACAAATTAAAAATTGGAATGTAATATGACCTGTGGCAAAACAAAAAAAAAATAAGCCATCCCTTTCAGAGCATTTAAAATAGCAAGAAAAACAAGTTCTGAGCTCAAATTCTGAAAATCTATCTATATATATAATTCTCCTCTTCCCTCAAGAATTTTGTCGAGTAGTAAGAAGTATTTCTTTCCACGAGAAAAGAGTAGTATTCACACTACAAATGACTGACTGCATGCTTGACTGTCGTTTAAATTTATCAAACCCTGCCCGCTCCCATGCCCCTTTGTCCTGCGGGAGGTTTGGACTAGGAACTAATCTAAGCAATCTACTATATGTAAACAGCAGGGCCGGACTTAGCCATATTGGGGCCCTATGCAAAACGGATTTCGTGGGGCCAAGTTTGGGTAAGGAAGCGGATAAGTAAAATTTAAGAGTTTTTATTAGAAAATAAATTCGTCTATGCATTTATTCATTCTTTACTACGTACAGAATTACTTTACGAGCCTAGCGTGTAGCAAAGTCATAATAATTCTGTTTCCTACATAGATCCCGCTCAATAGCAAGAATTACCAAATGTTACAATCTATCTTTGAGAATTGTTTTCCATATTGGATGACACCCCAAAATGACAATTTTTGTGTATATATTTCCGTATATTTAAGGACTTTTTTCGCTGGAAATCTGTTTTAAGTTATAAAATGGTTTAATTTAATAATTTATACACCTTGAATTAGAGCGGGTCCTATGAAAGTGGAGGACAATTGTGGTCGCATACGTAGCAGTGGCCTAAGACCGGCCATGCAAAATACGGCATATGCTATGCCACCGGTCGACTAGTACAAGATAATGAACAGAGTGTGTGTGAACATAGGCTTCCTTTTGGACAACAAAGCAAGTCAAAAGTATAGGGTAAAGTAAGGGTATAATTACATGCAATAGCCCTTTTCATTTTTTCCACACAAGAATATATCAATAATGATTTATAATTGTCTGTGTTGATATAGAGCACTAAGTGTACCTAAACATTCTATTCATGTGCTAATATCAGAACTACAAACTATCAATAACAACAATCCTTTTTTCCTTTATAGAAAATGCACTTTTTTCACCTGTTTACGATGTTTAGAAGTGAAAGATACCACACGCACACAATATCAAATAAAACGAACCACAATCTCTTAAATCTGTGTTTTTAAATTTGTATAAATAAGGGATTTTCAATAATGCTTTAAGTTCTTGACATCTAACCATGATAGAAGGGAAAACAGACCAGACAAAACTAATATTCCCAGTTAGGGGTCACTAAAAATGTGCCAAAATTTAAACAATAGAAAAACTTATTCATATGTAGAAGAAATTTCTTTGAAATAACTTTAGAAATACCAGTATTTTGTAACAATAAAGATGAAAAAGAAACCTAATCTAAAAGTGGTCCAAATAAACAACCAACCTAAAACAGTCACTAACATGCATGCCCTCTGAGCTTACTATGGAAATGTACTGAGAAGGCCTACATGTATATTTAGATACACATTCCAATCTTTTTAAAAAAAATATTTTTTTTGCAACAAACGCTCCATTTATTTATAAAATTGCCTTTAATTTCTGTGTGTGGAATTATCATAGTCATCTCCCTTACTATTTAAAAATTATGTTACAGATCTAGATTCATGTAACTAGCTTTCATGTTGTTAGTTCTGATAAGAATTGAAATCCAACAAAAGAAAAAAAAAAGTTTAGTATAACTGCAGATTGAAAAGAAATGTGATCACAAAGATAAATTTGTTGTTACATCGGAGAAGTTGCTTTTGAAAAAAAAAAAATATATACATGAAGTGCTGAGTTTTTTAAGTACATACCAGAATTAAGTGGATGTTGTCATGTGAAAAGTACAGGAATTTTTAAATTATTTACTATATGAGAAATTTACTATGAGAAATCTATCATTTGGATCATTGATTTAATTATATTTACAAAGTACATATAACAATTATCTTTTACTTTTTTGTTTTCTAAACATTTCATTGACAGTTTTTAGATGTTCACAATGCTTAGTTGTTTTTTTTTACTGGCCTATTTGTATCGCTTAATTTACTTCAAATCTGTTAATTTTTTTTTCTTCTTTACATTCTCATTATGACACTACTGGCTACCTTAATGAGCATTCTGACACACCAGGTACCCCTGTACCTTAATGAGCATTCTGACACACCAGCTACCCTGTACCTTAATATATATATCACTGAAACAGCTATTCTAGCTTTATAAATCACTTGTCAACAGTAAGGTGAAACATATTCACAATAGACTATGGTGATCATAACTGACATTTGAGTCAATGTAATTTTGGGTCCTTTGGAACTCAGCTCTCCACTTCCAAACCTTGTATACATGTATGTACAAGAATATATCTTTCTAACAAAAAAAACAACTGAAGTCATATCTTTGTACAGCATATACCTGAAGGCATACTCATTTAATGTCAATGTGACACATTACATGTGCTGCCACACAATTGAAACATTCGATGTGCATATATAAAAGGGAATAACTGGTAGGTTCAAGACAGAAGTCTTTATCAGAATTCTGTTTCCAAAGGTCTCATGTAGATAAAGAAAGTGGTTATTTTCCAACATGTACTTTCAAATGTGGCAAGATCCAAAGATACAGCTTCAAATCTTGGGTAATAATTCTATCTCTTGGTCATTGCAGAAGAAATACAACACAATTTGGCCTTGGAGATTGATAAGCTCGTCTTCTTCTTTTATAGAAACATTACTTTCATTTTTTTATTCTTTACTTTGGCCAGAAACAAAAAATAGGATTTTTTGGGGGACAAGGAATAATCATAATAATTATGATAGAAAATTTCTACTCTCTAACAGTGCTGCTAATCTAGCCTAAATTTACTTGTATAAGACAACCAAATTAGGCATATTTACATCGATACACATTGAAAATGGTTAATATATATCATCCAAATTTTGAAACTACTCCATGCACTTGTTTGCTACACTTAGTAAATTCATGAGATGGATACAATACACATAAATTGAAAATTCAGAAAATAAGCACATTTTTTTTGTTGCCATTAAACATTACCCATTACCAACTTAATTTGCAAACAGTGATATAGCTAGCTAATAAAAAAAAAAAAAAAAAGAGATAACATCAAATATTTATTTTCAAAATGATACAAATTCCATAGGTTTTGTACAAGGAAAAAAAATGGAGACAGGAAATAGTTATGCTATATTTTACATTGAATGTTCAAAAAAAATACAGCCAAGCCTTAGATTGCTCCCACATTAAGTAGTAAACTGAGCATGTAAAAAGATATTGTTTGTTTCATTTATGCTTCCATAGCAAACAAAAATGACAGACACACATTTATTTGACCTTATGTGGAGAATATACATTCAAAAATGTATACTCATCCAAAAAGGCATGTCATCATGAAAGACTTCACATAGTTCACTCTTGGAAAGAAAAATAATTTTAAAAAATTCAGAAATCTAAATCAACACATTGTCAGAATGTTGAGAACCAACAACTAGTGGTTTGAAAAAAATGTTGTTGCTTTTTATACACTGAGCAATATAGCTCTAACTATATACACTTTACAAATATATATATATATATATTAAGATAACATGATGGGAATCACATTCTCATTGCTGTATATTTGACAGATTTTTGTCAAATAATTTTAAAGTGAAAAGAAACCAAACAAATAAATAGCATTTAAAACTGTGCAAGGGCGTTTTTATTATGTTGAATATTCATGTAACCTTTGAACTAGCTTAGAAAACTTAAATTGTAACCAACTTTTATAATGTATATAATGAAATCAATCCCCTGTCCAAGACGCTTCCATCTTTGCCACACTCACAGCTTGACAAACCATCACAAAGGTATGTGAAGGCTATTGTGCTGTGAGATAAATCCTCACAAAAGTGTGAGAAGGAAAAGCTGTAAGACATGCCAGATTGACTTTTCCTCTAATTGAGGCCAATCATAAAATAATCATCAAAAGTAAAACAATCAAATTTATGACTTTCATTAAAAGGTTTTAATACTAACAATGACAACTATTAGACTTTATTGGCTTTGAAATATTGACACTAAAAAGTTGCATATACATTTTCTTCATGAAAATATGTCAGATTTAACAACTAATTAAAATTTTTAAATATAATCAATAATTAACATTAAAACTGTCATCTATTTTTTTTTATAGTTGTCAGCACAACACTGAGCTATTTAAAAAAGGAGAACTTATTATGATTTTATTAAAATAATTACCCTACCACAACAAAAATCTAATCGAGTGAGCTAAATGATTTTGTTAAAAGCAAGTATCTCAACAAAATCTAAACAATCTTAAAAGCAATCAGTTTTACACATTACAGATTTGTAATTTGAAGTCAAATCATTTAATCCACAAGTAAAGTTTTGTTCAAGGGAAACACAGATTGTATCATACAAACTTTAAAACAACCTTTCGATTTCTTGAGAGTATTGAAAAATTTTATCCCATAAGCACAAGCAGTTGTTTTTTTTTACTTATTTTTGTCTGAGTCGCAAAAATATTACATATTTTTCCCCTATACATTAATGGGATGAAGATTACACCAACAATGTTTATGTGAGTTCAACATTCTCGAATTCATACATACTAAAATAGCATGTACACATGTACAAATAAAAGTAAAACCAAAATATATATTTAAAAAATAGCACAAAAATAGCCCAGAATGTTAGTTGCACAAGAACAACTAATGTCCGGTTTCTGGTTTTACATTCGCATGGTTACATTTTGGCTTGGCCTAGGTGCTCTCAGGAACCCTGGAGGGGGGTGCATTCCTTGGAAAGCAGGAAACCTGTTAATGCTGATAGATTTGTTGTGTAGGGGGGGTGGAGGGACATTTTTAATTATATTAATGTCTGGTATATTGAGAGGCCTGGGAGGCTGTCGCATCTGTTGTGGATTTTGCTGGCCATAGTTCGGATATTGTGACTCATATGCAGGGTGTGGATTTTGCTGGCCATGGTTCAAATAGTGTGCCCCGCCTGCAGGGTATTGCTGGTGATATTGTGAGAAGCTAGAATAAGGTTGAAACAGTGAGCCAGCAGTAGGACGTTGTTGATAGTGGGGTCCTAATCTTGATCCACTGTTTGGATATGAGCTGTTCTCAAACACCAAGGTTTGGAAAGATTTATTTTTAAAGCCATTCTGTTTAGATTGGTCCGTCCTGTAGTACTGGTCACTGTTTTGTCCAACTTGGCTGCTATGCAAAAAAAAATAAATGAGTAATTATTTACTTAAATTAATAATACAAATATAATTAAGTAAATAATAACAAAAATATATAATTATTCAAAATTATAATAAACTGCATTATTTGCACATTCATTGCTTCAGTCCATCAAATATTGATAGCCAGCCAAAAGGAGATTTATATATATTAGGTGTCCAATGGAATCTCAGCTGGCAAACACCTTCTTTAACAAATATTTCAGATAAAATATATTTTATTTAAATTCCCACCAGAAACCGAACAAAGTTTTGACACCAAACAGCCATATCACCCACTTGTGACTAAACAGGATCTGAGACCAAGGATCAATCATACTCAAGACCCAGTAACCATCAGCCGTTCATAATTTTCATTTGTGGGCATCCTTCTTATTTAGTGATTTGTGTGCTTTATTTTATAACAAAGCACTAAATCATGGCATCCAAGTATATTAATTGCAATACTTGCAAGCTTATTTATATTGTATTAGAACTGTTCTCATTTAAAGAACATACCTATATAGTCTGTAACTTTCTTAAATTGCTGAGCCAACAGGGGCTGTCACCAATTAAATCTAGTTCCTTTATTTCTTATGAACAGATTTTGATTGTTAGCTCCACTGTACTTACTATCCATACACTTATTTTAAATGATTTAAATAATACATTTTAAAATGGGATTTAATTAAATTCATTGTCAAAAGCCTATGCAAAGGGATATTGCTATTGTGAAAATTTTTTTTTTTTTTACAAATCTTTTAAATGAGAAATACATTTTTTTAAAACTTAAAAAAAAATTAAAACAATAAATAACATTTAAGAATATCTTCAATAAACAACATAACATATCCCATATCCACAGTCCCAATAATTAGTTTTATATAATAATAATAATAATAAGGCTTGTCTTCAATTTTGAAGATTAATGAGGAATGCAGTATTTCCTGTGGCTATGCAGCCCAAGCAGTGACCTAATACTTTGCCACACCTAGTGCAGGCACAACCATTGTCCACCGGTGGTCAATTTAGATTTTCTCTTCGCAGTCTATGCTTGTCCTCGGAAGAGGATTTTTTTAAATTGCCTCCAATGTGTATCCCACTGCCCTTGTATGTAACCTCCAGCTGCCTTGTTTTGAAGTGGCATGCAACCTGGTGCTCTCTTCTATGGCAGTTAAAGCAAGCTGGCGCCTAAACTAGTCTTTAAAGTGTTTCCGTGGTGCACCTCTGTAACGTCGACCACTTTTCAGCTCACGTGCCCTGTCCAGGGTAACTGTTGGACCATAAGAAAAGAAATCCCTGTTTGTAGTGCCGTCATGCCACCGTATGTCTATCATGGAGCGCAAGCATCTTTGGTGAAAGCATTCAAGAATTCTTAGTTGCTTTCTGTATAATAACCATGTCTTTTTGAGATATAAATACACTAGTTGCATAAAAGTTAAACAAAATAATAATTAAAAAAATATTTTTTTTGCTGTTTCCTTATGTGCACGTTCTTTATTTCATACAAGTTCTATAGTAAAAAAAAACAACTTTCGATGTAGTTACCTGAACGGATTTTTCTCCTCTAATTTCTGGTTTTGACTTTTTGAATTTCCATTTGGTTTTCGGTTTTGCAATTTTATGAGATCTAATAAAAAAGAACATATTACCCAATTACAATAAAGTAATCTCTTGCTTTGCCTTCTATAACAAATTTAAATGCAAAATTGTCTCTAAATATCTTTAAACAAGCTATCATGATTCATCTTTTTTTTTTCAATTACTCTTTTCATATTTCTTTGATTAGACATTATGTTTTCAAATAATTCTCCCATAGGTGTATTTGAACAGATTGTACCTGAATGTTTTACAAGTAGATGTATTTTAAAATGACATAAGGGTGCCATTTAAAAATCAGAATTCAGCTAAAGAGACATAAAAATGGTTAATCACTTGTTTCATAACTTTTGATATTTTACTTTCTTGAGTATGTGAAAGAGCATTGATGGCTAAACCAAAAATACCGGTACCGGTATATAGATATCAAATCCTAGTGCTTGTTTGCAAATCTTAAAGGGAAATGGCTTTTCAAATTTGAGTTACTGACATACTTAAATTCTGCATAAAAAGTTGCAAAAGTAAACATTTTACCATTTTTTTATTTAAATGCATATAAACATTTATATTTAATAAATCAGACATTATATTCTTGACATGTGAAAAAAAATATTTTTTTTGAGATTTTGTTTTTAGGTTAGACGTACATCAATTCCCTCAACAACACTGAAAGCAAATCTAGATCTAACCAATCATATTGCTTTATTCTTACAGTGGTAACAGCCTAGTCCATAGCTATGGTACAGTTATATTTATAGAGTTCTAAAAGCACTTGGATAACCAACTAGAGAATAAAGTTAACATTTTCATCTACACCCCTCCATTTCCCATAAAAGTAAATAAATCATGTGTCTGACTGATTCAAACAAACTGGTCAGTGTTAGGATAGTGTAGTGTAGTCGGTCATGACAACACAACTAAAAGTTATTTTTTTTGTGTGCGTCGAGTGGTCAGGCGAAAAAATACACACAACTCCATGGTTAATCAAGCATGCAGATCTACTCTTAATACATATTTTCTTCTTTGCTTACATGTTTCTAGATCTAACTACATAGACAACAATCTATTTCTTTTATGAGATTGTAACGTTTACTGTATAATTTTCCGTTATACAGTACATCAATAGATTAAATAAATAGGTTTGTGCGATGTCACATAGAAACCAGGTGAAAATCTGACCAATTTGGATGCGCAGAAAAATTAAGTCAGAAAAACGTAAATTACTAAGCTATTATTGAAAATAATTGTAAATTTTAAATCAAAATACA